CGAATGCACTCCACGGTCCCCGACGATGCAGCAGTTCTGGAAGTGAAGAGGTCCAAAACATGTGATCCGAAAACGAACTGACAAGGACTTCAGGGCCCGCACTCGTACAATGACCAAGGCGAGCCCCCCATCTCCTGTAATCTTGGTGTTTGTCTGTAAGGGCAGAAGGTCCAACTCCAATACCCTACAGAACGTAGGACATGCAAGTCCTTCGGCCATGCACAAGGTGGCTTCAGACGAACATGCCAATGCCTAAGCACTTACAACCGAGGCGCCTTCGCATTCGCGTGGAATACGGTCCCACCAGGATGAACAACCGATCTTCAATCAGTTCCAAAAATATTTGGACACATCGCTCGAAAACACCATTGAGCGCTATATTCACTTCGACGGGAGGGGGCCAGAGGGTACACTGGAGAGGGAAGTGTAGAAAGAGGAGCAACTAAATACTAGCCACAACAAGTACAGCCACTGTAAGCATGTGCAGATCCGTCTTGGATCGCATCTGCATGCACACCGTGCGGGCTAGGCCATGGACGCACGTCCAATTACGATGGTAGCAAGGCGGACAGGTCAGGACAAGGTCGCCTGGACGCTGTTTCATAATGGAAAAACTACCTTCGTCTCTACAGGGCCTACTTCAGCCTACCTCGCGGGAACAAAAATACTGCAACTTGCTCCTCACTCGCGCACCATGCAGGACATACCCCCAAGCAGTTGCGGGTGGTTCGCGCGGGCGGGGCGCATGACTTGTGAGACCAACAGATGCCGATATCTCTACTTCCCAAAGCTCTCCTGGGTGGGGCGTCCTGACCGAGACTTCGAGGCGAACCCAGCCGTGGCGACGAGGGCCTCTCAGGAGGCACCACAAAGGCGAACACGAGGCACGGGTAGCGGCATTCGCTCCAGACCGTCCGCGCTCCCAAGGCCAAGGATCCATCGCAAACTACACTGCGTCCGCGCTCCCGGGGCCACGATCCCGCGCAAATTGCGCTGCGTCCGCCTCCCCTGTTTACCAGCCTCGAACGTATCCCTATCCCTAAGATTGACACGCCAAAAGGCGATGACAATCTCAGGGATTCGCCCTCAAAAAATAAGGGAATCCCTAAGATTGGCATCGTGATGAGGAGGTGCCCAGCATAGGGATAGGGATATGTTCCAGGCTGGTAGCCTGTGCCACGGTCCCTCGTGAACTACGCTGCGTCCGCGCACCCAGGGCCGCTCTCCGTCGTGCGTGTTCGGGCCACCTGCGCAACACGCCAGGACAGGACACGCCGCAAAGCGGGCGGGCCCCGGGGGGAGTCGCGGCGGCCCAATCTGCGGGCGGGCCCCGGGGGCGCGCCGCGGAAATGCCGCTTGGAGCGCCGCGCGGGCATCGCGGGACGTGTGCCGCAGGCGCGTCGATGGGGCGAATCCAGACATATCTACGCCTGAGTTGCGCCGCGGATATATGGATATGGATATGGATATGGATATATATATATATATATATATATATATATATATATACACACAGACGCCCTCCGGCAAATTCTGCCTGTAGGGTGGCGGTGTAGAAAGTCGCTGGCCCTCGATGGACATCTATACACCGCCGCCCTCCCAGGAGGCCCAGGAACACTGCATTGGAGGGCTTCTCAATGTAAGTACCTTTTGTGGCGGAGGAATTCTGCCGAATACGAGGTCCCCGGAACTCCCGACTCCTTCCGCGGGGCCGGTGTGTCATCCCAGGCTGCTTGTCGACGGCCCTGCAATCCTTTAATGAAAGTTCTCCTAACCCCCCCCGGCGCCACCCCGCGCGCGGCGCGGTACGCGGACGCCGACGGACAGAATCAGGTCACGTGCTTCGGCATCAACGTTGACATTTTTGCCGGGGTGCCGACGCGGCGCGGGAAAAACTTGCGTGACGCTGCGCTGAGGGATGCAGGGCCCGGCGAGGGCCCCCGGAGGCCGCAAACGGCCAAAGGCATTTTGTTGGCAGGTGGACCTCTCAAGCTCCCCGCCGCCTCTGGCGGTGCTCGCTGCGGGCAGGAGCACGGCAGAGCCACAGGAAAAACGCGGCGTGGACGGCGCAGCTCCGCAAGCGTGGCGATCGTTAGTTAACGAGCAGGAGCGCAGCAAAGCACCCCCCCGTCGTGAGGGGCGCGGCGAGCGTGCCCGGGGATCGCCGCGGGGGGGACCGACTGGGGCGCGCCGCTGGCGCACGGGCGGGCACGAGGAGAGGCGGGCCGGACGCGGTGCGAGCGGCGGCAGGCGGCACTGGGGAGGGGCGGGTCGGTCGGGGGGAGCGCGCCGCGGAGGGGGGTCGCCGAGGCGGGCGACGGGCGGGCCGCTGGGCGTGTCGCGGGTGGTTCGCGGGGCGGGTCGTTCGGCGGCAACTCATCGGAGCCTCCCATGCCATCTTGCCGGCTCCTGGGAATGGACGCTGGTCGACGCTGAATCGACGCTGATCGACGCTGAATCGCCGCTAATCGAAGCTACATCGACGTGCATCGACGCTAGCCGACGCTATCCCTGACATTCCTCGGTTTTGTTTTTTTACAAAACGGCGGTTCTTGCATTGTTTTTTCCCGAGACGCATTGAAAAAAAAAACAATACACTTGCGATGTTTTGTTTTTTGGTTTTTAGGCGCGCAAGGCGCTGTCGGGTTCATAAGCGCGCAAGGCGCTGACGGGTTTTTGGGCGCGCAAGGCGCTGTCGGGTGTTTTGGCGCGCAATGCGCGTTCCAGAATGTCGAAGCGCATGCCGTTGTTGCGCCATGGACAGGCGAGCTCCGCTACCAAATAACAACTTGAGCCACCAGCGAATTTTGACCCAAGATTGCAACGGAGGAGGGCGGAGAGGGGAGGGAGGAGGGAGTAGGGAGAGGGGAGCACCAGCGCATATTTCATCTCCAACTGAAGCGTGCGCGAACGCAGTACGGTCTGCGGGTGTCCATGGAGTATACCTTGCCACAGACCCGCATGGCAGCCGTCGCTCCCGTGACTAAATTGCGACGACCCAAATCCCCGACGTTGTGCTTTTTTTTCGCGACGTCGACCCCCAGAGGTCTGAACCACCCGAGGTCCGAGAAGGGCCCCCCGAGGCCGAAAATTTAGGAAAAAACACCCGTCGTGATAAACTCTCACACCGCGGAGGGTCTGGGGCGCCAAGTGATCACAGGATCGAGGAGGAGGAGGAGGGGGAGGAGGAGGAGGAGGAGGAGGATCGATGAAGATGATTGTCGTCGGTCGAGTGGCTCCTGGAGGCAGCGCAAGCGCCTGTATAACATATTTCGGCACAAATACGCGGCACGGTGATGCGCCCACGTGTAGTGCAAACGGGAAACGCTGGAAACCAGCTCATTGCAGCGCTGGGACACAACGTACTTGTTGATGGTCCTGGCGCCAAGAAACCGCTAAATAGAGAGAGAGAGAGAGAGAGAGAGAGAGAGAGAAGGAGGAGGGAGACGAGCCCGAATGATCTATGACGACCCCGACGCGCCCGCGGGCGCATTTTCTCGTGCAAGTTTGGGTCTCAAACCCAGCACGGTCCCCGAGCGTGTAGCCACACGCACGCGGGCAGCGCTGTTGCAACATGCTCCTTTGGCCTGGACCAACGAAGCCCCGAGGAGGAGGAGGAAGGGGATCGAGGAGGATGAGGGATGGATGGGCGTGCCATTGATCGATCTCGTGTCTGCGTCCCCACCGCGGACACGCACAACGCAGCGCGCGCCCTGCTCGATGGGGAACGTAATGCCATTTTCTCCACGAGTTTGCGGCTCTGCCACGCGTTCGCTCGCGCCCCAGCAGCCCCACGACGATCCTCGCCTCAAGGCGGACACCGATCGAACGTGAGAGGGAGGGCGGGGGGGGGGGATAGGCGAGATGACTCGCACTCGCGGCGCGAGCGGCCCATCTGCGTTCGCAGCGGCCAGCTCGACGCGCAAGCAATTGAACGAAAAGTGGAGGGAGGGATGAGGAACACGTTTCTCATCGAAGTGTGCGCCATATATTCTTCGACCATGCGATACCACCCCGCAGATGCGGACATGCGTGAGGGGGCGGTGGGGGCGTCGGCAGTCCGCGAGATTCGAGAAGCCTGCCGCAGGCGCCAACGTCTCAATCGCGGGGTGGGTCGCGGGCGAGTCGCGGGTGGGTCGCAAGCGGGCCGCGGGTGGGTCGCGAGTGGTCGCGGATGGGCCGCGGGGTGGGTCGCAGGTGGGTCGCGGGGAGGGCCGACTACGACAGCAAACAGCAACAACAACAACAACAACATCAACAACCACATCAACATCAACAGCAACATCAACATCAACAACGCAACAAACATATTCATCACCGCAAATGTTCACTTCAGCCACGCACCCACCCGCCTCTACCCGCCTCTGTTTCCAATGCGCGTGGCGGAAACGAGCGGCGCACCGCGTCTCCACAGGCACGTCCACATGCCGCAGGCACGTCCACATGCCGTGGGCAAAGGGTGGGGGTGGGAAAGGAGAAGGGGATCATACGTGCTCGATGCGGCCACGGCCGATCACGGAGGGCGGTTCCCTGAACTCGGGCGATGCTGCTTCGAAAAATCCAAGGAGGGGGGCGGGAGAGAGCAAGAACAGCCAAGTCCAGGCAATCGGCAGCGAGCGGTGGGCCACTACTTTGGACCCGACGCCCGACATGGGTACCGAAAAAATGGGTACGATGCCCAACAACAAATGTTCTCCCAAACCAACAGCGGCCGCCGTTGGGCAGGCGGCCTCCTGTCTCGAATGGACACAGGCCGCGGCGGCGTGGACAGCGAGGCCTGTTCAAAATGAACAGGAACTGCTGTTGGGCAGTGTACCCATTCTTTCGGTACCCATTTCGGGCGTCCAGAACTACAGCGTGGCCTGCGCCGATCGGCGTGCCAGCGTGCGACTGGAGATGGGAACAATGTCGGTGGTGTGCCCTCTCCTCTCCTCTCCTCCTCCTCCTCCTCCTCCTCCTCCTCCTCCTCCTCCTCCTCCTCCTCCTCCTCCTCTGGTTGTCCTCCTCCACTTCCTCCTGCACAATCAAAAAAAAGGGGGGGAGGTGGCGACTGAGCCTAAGGCGCGCCGCCAGCGCGCTCCTGCAAGATGCCCGCGGTCGCGCGGGGCCAGAGATGGATAGAGAGTGTGTGTGTGTGTGTGTGTGTGTGTGTGTGTGTGTGTGTGCGTGCGTGCGTGCGTGCGCGCGTGTGTGTGTGTGTGCGTGCGTGCGTGCGTGCGTGCGTGCGTGCGTGTGTGTGAGTGTGAGTGTGAGTGTGAGTGTGAATGTGAGTGTGAGTGTGAGTGTGAGTGTGAGTGTGAGTGTGAGTGTGAGTGTGAGTGTGAGTGTGAGTGTGAGTATGTGCGTGCGTGTGTGCGTGCGTTCGTGCGCGCGTGCGCGTGTGTGTGTGGTGTGTGTGTGTGGAGCGAGAGGGCACGCACGGCTTAGATGGTGAGCTTCGAGCGGCACCTCTCCTCCTTGACCAGCCTCGGCGGGGTCAGGCGGCATGGCCGAAACACTATCGGAGGCTCAGGGGGGGGAAGAGCCCCGTCAAGCGGGAAGGTTGGGAGGAGGGAGGGGGGGATAAGCAGGAGGACGAGGGCGAGGAGGAGGGAGGAGAGGTAGGAGGAGAGTCGGGGAGGAGGAGGAGGGAGGAGGACAAGGAGGTGCCACTTCTGGTTCGATGCACTCTGACCCTCGAGATCTCAGGCACGCTGCCCACGGTAAACCCTTGCCTCTACTCGACTCCGATAGTGGCCCCGACCCTCCC